GATACAAGTAATAGGTAAAGCACAAGTGAATGTAGAATACAAAGGGAATTCACATATTTTGAACGCAATAATCATAAACATCAATATGACTTTGTTAGATCATGTAAAAACATTTTTAAAATATACTTGAAAGATTCATAGGCATGATAGATGCAGATTAATATAAAACTGCGATCACATGAAGAAATCATAAAACAATATTATAATGACTATAAAAATAAAAACAATATTAAGTATAAATAAAATTGTGAAATTCATGATGAAAGTATATTATCTAAAGAAATTCTAATAGCTAAATAAAACAATGATAATAAACATACCTAATATAACACATAATGTAAATAAAGGGGATGAAACTTATACAGATAACATTATGAAAATAGTTGATTCCAAATCATATTTTATAAGATTTATATTTAAAAAAAGTAAAAGAATTTGAAGTCTTAATTCAATTAAAGATGAAAAGATTTAAATTTAAAAATTCCTAGAAATTAACATTACCTTATTTTACTACATTATATTAACTTAATAAGTTTTTTTAGTACTTTGGTTTTAAATTATTATTATTAACTTATTAAACATATTGTTAAATTGAACTTTATAAAGTATATATATATATATATATAAATAGTGTGATAAACAGTTAAAAAACATTAAATAATAATATATATAATTTATTTTCTCTATACCCTGACTACTTTAATATTAATATTATTCTGGTAAAATTTTAAATCAGTTTCTATTAATTCACAAATTTATAGTTACAATAATAAATAAAAATATTACTTTTTGGAAGTAAGATGTTATTGTCTTTTTTTGCAACTGGGTTTCAACTCCATTTGTGATATTATATGGAATATCACAATATAAAGATACCCAATTATTATTATCTCTTTTGATGGCTACCTTTGTAAATTTCATATCAGCTGGCTTGACATGAGGATGTTTATGTTTATAATGTTCATGTATCTTGTCACTTCTTATTTTAGAAGTTTTGCAATTTTTAATATTGCACTTAACTTTAAATATGGTTTTGTTACTTGGCATCTAGAAAGAAATAATTATTATAATATAATTTTTTACATATTATGTTTTTTATTATTCTTTGCTTGATGATATATGTTTTTATGCATGACTCAAAAAATTACCTAAAATTTATCCTGCTAAAATCTATAAATTTATTAAAAAACATAATATAAATATATTAATCTCTAAGAAAAGTACCAAATAGGAAATGTGTAAATATTAACTTGATAAAATGCTAAATGAAAATCGTTGACAAAGAAAATTTATATTATTTATTAATTGACAAATATCTTTACTTTAATTGACATTTTTCAGAAAATCAAACGATAACCATCATAATCGTATCAATTAATGGATTAAAAAAAGATTATAATTCAAATCAAAAATTACCCACCAAAAATCAATACCTACCCCCAAAAAAATAATGCCTACCCCCAAAAAATTAATATCAACCCCTTAAAATCGATACCTACCCCCAAAAATGCTAATATATTTTGGAGGCATTTGTCTCCTACTCCCCCCCCCCCCGGCCATGTAGACGCTGCTGATCACGAACTTCTTTGAATACAAGCATATATTGTTGCATAAGAATCTATAATACTTTCATTAATACCGATTACACATACAACAGTAACATTTATGTATTAAGTTAGTTTCATTAAAAATTATTAATATTGTAATGTAGTTGAAAAAATGTTAAGTTATTTCTTTCATATTAATTATATAAGGATGATATAAAAAATTCTATATATTAATATTGTAATGTAGTTGCATAAATGTTAGGTTATTTCTTCCAATAATATTGATCATATAATGACATTTTTATTGCATCTCATCTTCAGGTTTGCAGTTAAACTAGTTGTTCTATTGTATTGACAATCATACAGCTGTAAAACCGAACTCTAGAATAGAATATAACCTATTTGAAATAGAATACTTTGCAATTCATGAAGTCCTTTTATATATTTTCAAAAATATTTGCTATGGGGCGGGGGATTTCTTTCTCTCTTACCCCCTCCCCCTCGCTGGCTATGCGCCTGGATGACCTTAGTTAGAATCAAAAGACTAGTCAGTAGTGTTGTTAAACGGCTCGTTTTGAGCCGATTTTTAAAAACGGCTAACTCATTATTTCATCCAGTAAAATATTACGCAAGTCTGAAATTTTGCTCATCTAAGGAACAAAGGTCTAGACATATTTTATAGAATCTCGAGACTTAGCCAATATTTTTCTGGCTAACATATTGAGTTAGCCGTTTTAAAAAATCGGCTCAAAAGATTAGTTACGAGTAGATGAATGTTTCGTAGCCAATGTAAGATAATCGAATTTTGAAGCAACTTCTGTCGTTTCACATTCGGTTAATTCGTCCGTGTAAGGCCATAGAGAGGTAGCGTGTTGACATAAAAATTGCATCGGAGTAATATTTTTTTCCTTTAAATATTCATTTACTATGTTTATAGATTGAAATGAGGATCCAAAAGTGCTAACACCTAAGTAAAAAAAATAAAACAAAGAGAAATAATATAAAAAAAATAATTTATGTATTTTAAAATACTACCTGAAGATCGGTTATTGTAAATCTATGATCAAATTTAGTAAGCATATTTTGTTTAAGGGATGCATGGGAGGATTATCATATTCTTTTACAATTAAATGATATTTAATTTCACTACGAAATAATAAGAATAAATTTTTAGTAACTCCTTTTTGGACGTATAAAAATTCAACAGTTTTTTTGAAGGTTATAAGAAAATTTAAAAGTTCATGCACCAAGTCCCAATCGGAGTTAAATAATTTGAGATCCGGTTTCTCCATTCTATTTAATAAATATTTATAGGATTTTTGTTATTGCAAGTCACACTTTCTAGCATTATTAAAATACTATGCCAACATGTAGGCACATTTAATTTTAAGGTGTTTTCTCATATGGTTTTTGATATTCACTATCATCATCAAACCCCAAACGATCTTCATAAAAAAATTTATTATTATCCAAATCTAAAATATCCGATGTAAATGATATCGATTCAAAACATTTTCTATTTTCGATATCGTTTATATTTTCAAAATCCATTGTGTTGAATCTTAAGACAAATATAATTTCTCCCACTTTTTTAATAGTTTTCTATTTTATTTACTTTTTTTTAATTCCATCGACTGTCACTAATGTAATCCATGCCCCAAACATAAATGATGGTCATATTCTCCTAGACGAACACCTTTCTTTACATTGGGTCCTGCATCCGTAACCATTTGAATTTTCTTAGACCCTAAATCAAATTCATTTTCAACTTTTTCTATCTTGGAAAGAATAGTTTCAGCGGTATGTTTTTGAGTGACATGTGTGTCGCCAATGTATAAAATACAATATCTATTTCGTGAAATGTAAAGGTAATATAATTTCGCCGTCTATATTTGTCGGTCCACATATCAAAAGTTATAACACAAAATTTAGGACCTATATTAATTTGTTGACATATGTATGCTTTCATTATAATCTACTCCGGCTGAATGTTGTTCTATCTGGTAAATCTTTTGTATTTGAAATAATGCCATATTTCTACATAATAAAAAGTTAATAATAAAAATATTATGCCATTAAATGTGGGATAACAGTTTTATTTAAATATTATAAAATAATTAAATATTTTAACAGTTAACATAAAAATTAAGATTAAAATAATAAATTATATAATAATATCAATACCTTTTCTGTTTTACTATCCTAATCTTATCTTATCTAGCACGTTGCTCACAGACCTGCTCAAAATGAGCCAACGTGTATTATATGGATTGTTACAAAAATTTATAGCAAATAATATTTATTAATTTTAAAAATAAAATCACATTTTAATAATTCAAAAAATATTTAATATTATTTTTCTTCTAGTTACAATTCATAAATAATATATAAAATAAATATTATTTTTAATAATAAAAAATATGTATCACGCCGCCACGCCACCGAATATTTAAATCGGCGGCGGCGTAAGCGCCGATACTTTTTTGGGGGCGGCGTCGGCGTAGTCAAAAATTACCGGTGGCGCATTTGACCGGCGGCGCACATGTCTATCTATAATACATTATTTAGCTTATTTTTCTGACGCTGATTTTGAGATTTGTTATTAATCAGACTGGAAAAATATTTTTTTATTTTATTTTAGCGTTTACTTTTAATTTTTTTTGCTTTCCCTATTTAACAATTTTATTAATTACTCCTACAACCTCATTACTGTCGAAAGGGTCATGTGCAAAAAAAACTAATTAGAACAAGACTTCGGAGTACTAAAGATCCGTTTCTTAATATAACTATTTTATCAATGGAATAAAATTTATTTAGACAATTAAATATCGAAATTATAACTTATTTCGCTTTCCTTTTGGACGGGTTTTTTATGGGCATATTCTGCTTCTTTAGCTAAGGGAGTGTAGGAGCCACGGTGTGTACCCATGTTTCCACTATTCGCAATATGTGTATTAAATTAGATATTAAATGTGCATAGACTGTTTACTTGGGTTGATTGTGAGAGCATTACTAAGCCACCAAAAATCGGTCAAAAAGGGAGAAAATCGAGTATTAAAAAATAAAGCAAAAATAGAGAAAATTTATTTAAATTTAAAAGGTATAGAAAAGAATATTGAAAAACTTAATTAAAATTTAAAGGTATAGAAAAAGTATTCAAACATTGGTTTTTCTGTTAATTTGCTTTTCGTCATTTTAAGTGCTTTTCTGAAATTTTTGCGCATTTAGAAACCTTGTGTACTATTCTGAAATTTTGCACTATTTTGTGTTGTTTATTTTTGCTTACTTTTTACGTAATTTATAAATTTTGCATGCTTATTAAGTCATTTTGGTAGTTTAAGAATGCCGAATGTGACTAGTCTTTATCTTATGATAAAAAATACACAAATTACGTCAATTTGTATAAATAAATATTTGTGTTTTTATATTTATTATACATATCGATCCGTGAAATTCAAACATATATTTAATACTAAAAAATTTATCAACTCTTTTTCAATGATAACAGTATATGATACAATCTATTATCCCCGTTAAAGTTTGACTCACTGTAATATTGTGTGAAAATGTCCATCCAATCAAACTCTTCCATAATGATCTGTTTAGTTGGTGCATCTTCATTATTAAAATTTTTAATATTATCATCGGCGAAAGGCTCCTTTATTACAGTTGATTTGTCATTAAGGTTACCGCGATTATCAATTACCATTTCTTTTTTGTTAGAATTCACTGCTAATATCCCTTTAGCGAGTTGTTCAGGTGTAATTTTACATTCTTCTTGTATAATAGCAGAACAAGGAGATCTTTCTTCTCCTTCGAAATAATTTTTTTTAAATAAAATAAAAATTTGATTCTTAAGCAGATTTATATTATTGAAACTGCTTACTTATCGAGTGTAAAAAATTTTTATTCACTTATTATTAGAAAGTTCCATTCTAGTTATTAAAATTTTTTTTTAGAGAATTGTAATAATCACTAATAGAATTGGGGTAATTTTAAACCTTCTTCCAAATTTAGGTTTTCTTCATCTATTCCAGATAATTTATTTGATGAATGCTCCAGTTCAACATTTCGTTCATAACATGTTTTCGCGTAATTTCCACTTTCGGTCTTTAACTTTATAACCATCGATACCGTTTTTGGAAAACATCTATTCTTGAAAGCTACGATCAAAATAAGCAGAAGCTTATCCAGCTTTTGGTTTAATCCCTCGATGCCTATTTCATAATATTTTTAAAAGGATTTGCTTATAATGTTAAGTAAACAATCTAAAGCGAAGTTTTTTATAGTAAAAGATTTAATTTCTAAGTTTCAGGTTAAATGCTGTTTTAAATTAAATATTTGTAGGTTTTATAAATTTCCCGAGAAAAAATTAAAGATTATTTTTTACTTGATAGACATACAAAAAATATAGGTTCTAACCCGCCTGAAACCCGGTGGTAAATTTATTAGGTCTAGGGGTCCATTACATGTTGCGGACCGGCCAACTTTATATAAATGAAGAAAATATATCTTAAAATATTTAATTTATTGTCTATTTTTATGTTATGCGTTAAATTTAAATATTCAGCAATAACTTATAATTTAATGATGTTTTTATGCATTTAGTATAAAATATAAGAAAAAGAAAATTCCTACCTGATTTTTTAAAATTTATTTAATTCATTCCATAATTCAGATATTCAATAAAGGTAAAAAGAAAGAAAATATAACATAAATTTTGGGTCAGGCGGCTTAAAAATTGATAAAATTTCGGGTTAAGCCTGGTTTGGGCCGAAAAATTGAACATATTCATAAATCACCTTTTCCGTTAAAGTCGAGGGTTTTGGAGTTCAAATGGATCAATCGCAAACAATCGAAAATACTGATCCTAGATTCGACCTAATCAAAAATAATAAATTTTAAAAAATGAAGAGTGGTAAAATAACGTATTATCATTACTGCTTCAGATAGATTTTGGGGGTCCTTATGAATGTTAGCTGGCAAATTGGAGTCCTCTAAAAGGTGTTGCCTTATTTTGTGATCGGGAATTATTTGAGGGGCTTGCACTAAAACCTTGATAATAGCGCTATGCATGTGGGATACGCCTGAATAAATAAGCGAATAGTCAAATTAGAAGTATTAAGGCTCTAATAACAAAACACAAAATAATTTAGTATTGACCAATAAAAAAAACCAATCTAAATCGAATATAAAACTAATACTCAATTATGGGCCCAAAACAATATAAGAATACTCTTTTGCTAATTTTGATTTTATTTGACGATCTCATTTTGATTTGCAAATATTAAAAAAAATGAAAGTTTGCTGAATTATTAAAAAGTTAATCGATTGATACTAAAACCCTGTATTGGACATATTTTTTTCAGTTACGCTAATCCGATAATTTTTTTCAAAGATCTAATTCTGATTTTTTTAAAAAATAGGTCAGAATCAAACCCGATTTTTTTATTGGACTGTTGAAAAGGTAGGATATTTCAACGAATGCGGAAAAATTATAAGCGCTGAAGGAAGTTATTCCTGAAAAAAATATTTATAAAAACATTAGGAAAAGACAATATTTTATATTTTGTCGAAGTTGGAGGTCTGGTGTGAAATAAATTTTAAAATCAATATCAGGATATGACAAAATCCGAGTAAATGTCTGTTCAGGTCCAGGGTTCTAATTGATATCATGAATCGGGGCTCGGAAAAGTTAAAGTAACGTTTTTTTTGGTTCATATATTTTTGTTTATTCAAAAACAATTGTTTTTATCACTCATTTTGTAATATGTTTATTTTATTAAGGGCCCTGATACAAGGTGCTGCATATTGATATCTTCGTTTTGAGAAGGAAAAGAGCGGAACGGAGTGTTAAGAGGGGTCCATGCGATGAATCCGAAGTCTAATTAGCAATTAGGAAGAGAGATAGCTCAAGAGCGGTATGGGATAATGAGATGAGGCCAAGGCTGTTATATATTATTAGTTCTATTAAAAACGAATAGTGCATTATTCGTTTTATACGGAATAGTTTTATTATTATTCGTAATAATATTTTACTATATGTCTGTATTCGATTTGAATTATTTGATAATTCGTTATTTTAAATATTATAAATATAATTCATACGAAAATATATTGAGATTTTTTTAAAATTTTTTTATTGCACTTCCATTAATGAAATTTTATTCTAAATTTTAAATATATATTTCAATATTTTTTAAATTAGTATAATATAAATTTAATTGAAAATTTATATAAAGCAAGCTCAAATTATTAAATTCTTCATTTAAAAAGTAAAATGGCTTTGCTTCAACTTCCGCGCATCTTTATTCACGTTTTTGTTATTAATTTTTGCGTCTTTTATCGATTGAAATCCAAGTTCCTTTTTAGGGTCAAGGCTATAATAGGGAGCAAAATAGCCTAAGTCTATACTAATCACATGATGTCAAGGGGTTTCGGTCATTGAAAGTATAAAGCTGAATGATTGCACTCTATTATATTTAGAGCAAAGTTGTTAAACTCTACTTTTAAAAGTAGCGCGCTACCGCTATTTGTCAAAAAAAGGTAGCGCGCTATTAGCTATTATTTTTTTAAAGTAAGGCTACTTTTTGTAAAAAAAATTTAGAAATAAATTTGTTTTATTTTTTGCTTATAATGTAATTGTATGATAGATAAAAATCAACATTTATAACTATTTAATTACAGTTAGTTTTGATTATAAAATAATTTATGTAAAAAGACTATAATTTATGTAATAAAAATAACTATTTATGGTAATATTCATTTCTTCTTTATTTTAATGCATTTTAATAATAAAATCATTTCTATACTATATCATTCCCAAGTTTAGAGCGACGATCAGAAAGTTTAAGTTCCGACAAACTAAATATTCTCTCAACATCAGTGAAAGTCATTTTTGTGGTTGTAACTAGGGCATCTTTGTTTGTTATGAGACTATTCAGCTTTACCATGAGCCTATCACGTGATCTCTGATCATCGGAATTGATATATGACCAGTTTAGCTTAAAATTGGGATAAATCATAAATTTTATTTGCAAGTATATCGTATGTCTGACATCCTATTATTTTTTTAAAGGGTTAATGCTATATATCTTCTTTTTAAAATCTTAGGGTCTAGCCAATGACCTGTTTGCCAAATATTCACTAAAAATATTAATATCAGATCAATATATAAATATAAATAAGTTTTTCCCTTCTGTTATGTGTCCAAATATCTGCCGTGGTATATATATAGGATGTCTTTGACAACTCTACTATTAGAGAATCTTTAATCACTTCAAAGTTATCTGCTATCTTAATTATTAGTGTCTGTTGACATAAAATAGGGGATAGAGTTTTAATCATCATGATAAATGAGGGATTATCAACCTTGGACATTGGCTGAGCTGTATCAATTATAATGACAATGACTTTATCAGCCAGTATCTGAGAAATATTGGCATGCATTATTAATCAATTTGGCTTGAATTGAATTGGTCTTTTTGGATGTAGTCTCCCGTATACCAAAATTATTACGATGTTTTTCTATCACTTTAAAACTGTTGGCATGAACTTATAAAATATATGCTATTAGAATTTTAAAAAATCACCTTTAGGTGTTATTTGAAGTTATAGCTTCTAGATTTATTTGAAGATATTTTTTACATTTTAAACTAATAAATTTGTAGCCACTTTTCGTTTTTACATTAATTTGAAAATATTTTTCAAATTTTGGAAATGGAAAAGTATTATTGTTATCAAGAACATTTTCTTCCAAAGTACCTTCCATTTCATTAATATCATTGTCTGACTCATTGACATCGATTTGGATATCCACTTTAAATAATTTACACCCAGTGGCCCCTACACTTTTTGAGCGAATGAAGCAGAATACTCCCATGAAAAGTATCCCCCCCCCTTCGAAAAAATGATAATTATGACACTCATAAATTTCAAAAATAATTTTTATTGCATCAATTTTTAATATATAATATAAATAAAATGCAAAAAATATAACTTTATAAATATTATTTTAAATTAATAATTTAGATAAATTAGGGGAAGAGAAAGCGAAAGAATTTATAATTTCATCAGTATTTAATTGTTTAAATAAAAATTTTTCCATTGATAATATGGTTAAATTATTGAGAAAAGAATCTTTCATGGTAATGCGCAGTCTTGTTTTAATTAATTTAATTTTGCTCATGACTCTTTCGGCAGTACATGAGGTTGTGGGAATGGTTAATAAATATTTATATAAAATTCTTAAATTAGGGAAAGCAGAAAAATTTTAAAGTAAACGATAAGGTAAAATAAATGAATAGTTTTTCCAATCTGAATCGTAAGTCCCTGAATTATCATCATCATCAGAAGAAGCTAAATAATGTATTGGTAAAAATATTTTAATTAAATAAATTTACAATTCTCAGAATCTGACAAATCTTTAGATTCTTGAACCTCTAGGTCATGAGTAATAATTACATCCCCATTTTGGCCATCTTATTTCTAAACTTCAACATTTCTTCGAAAATTTTACTTGAATTTAAATTGTAAATTCACAGATATCCTCGATATCTTCTTTAATAATTGATTTTTCTGCCATTCCCTTTGGCGTAAAAAATGATGTTTGATGTAAAGATTTCATGGTATCATCATTAAATCTTTCGTTAAACTGCATAATAATTAAATCGAGTGCAGCATAAAACACACCTAATCAAAAATGTAGATTTCTCTCCTTCATAAAATCTTGCGCCTTTGAAAAAACATCTAAAAATTCAGTGTTATTATCTATTAGATTAAAAAATAATTAAGACAATAATTTTTATTATACTTCTCAAATTAATCAAGCAATCTTTTGCCAATTGAATTTGATTTATTGCATACCATATATCCTTCGAAATGGTTTGCAATTTTGTACAAGTCAAACTTGTTATCAACAATATTTTATCCAAAATACAAAGTGATAAGATAAAATCAAATTTTCCTATTCTAAAGACTATAGCACTAGCCATAGTGGAAGTGGCAGGATCTTCAAAATCCTTCTGCCCTCAAGGCATCATAAAGTAGAAAAAAATTTACAATAGCTTTATATGAGGATAACCAGCTTCTAAATAAAAAAACATTTTAAATCTAAATAAATAAGGTACTATTACCGAGTGGTATTATTGATGCGTAGAAATCGTTCGATTTTTTCAGATCATTACACTGAAATTTTTTGAGTACCTCATATCTTTTTACACCATTAAAATAGACATAAATCTCATTTAGTATTCCTAGAACATTTAGAAGTTCTTTAATTGATTGGCATAATTGAACAACGATTAAATTTAATCGATGACAATAACACCAAATAAAATCTGCCTTTGGCGCCTCTGCTCTAATCAAGGCTTTCACACCATTGATTCTTCCACTCATGTTTGAGGCGCCATCATAACTTTGCCCAAATAGTTGTTCAAGAGGTAAATTCATCGAGCCAAGTTTGGATATTATATTATGCTTTTTATCGAGACCTGTGGTATTTCCCTTACAATATATGTCAATCAGTTTTTCAACAGGCTTCGGCGTCTCACTATTTTCAATATATCTTACTATCAAAGCTATTGCTTCTGAATTCGAAACATCGTATGTGCATGATTGAAAAGCACCTGTTAAATGTAATCTCATTTTGAATTTTTTTTATAACTATATTTTTCATGGTTTCAATGAGAATGTTTATGTTATTATATGATAATAGGTTTGAATATAATTTCGTTTTTAATCCTTTTTTCTTTCTTCATTTTGCTATATATACATTTTTAGTATAGGTTCAGAATCTGCAATACACTTAATAAGGACCATCATATTGATTTCTTGTTGCCTGTTACCCCAGAAGGCTTGGTTACGAGATATTAAATAATCTAAACATCTTATTATAATTCTTATAATAGAACGGTTATTATCTACACATTCTTTCTGAGGTGTTATAAATTTTAATATCGAATTTTTATTATGAGAAAGCCTTCCATAATAGGCCATCATATGTGCCTGTGAAGATTCATGCAGAATAATATCACGATTAATATTTTGCCATTTATCTAGACCTTCACATGCCCATTTTGAATTTGCG